AACCCCCCACCCCCCCCACGCCCGAAACCAAATTGGCATGTATATATACATATATATACATATATAGATATAGTGAACGTGTATATAGGACACGATTAGAGACCTAATCCGAAGTTGCGTTCACATTTTATGCAAAAAGTCTTGAAGAGAACAACTTCAGTGTGCATGTGTCAAATTTACACAAATCAATCATAACATTACGTGTATGAGTGAGTAAGCAACAACTAAACATAGAGCTACTATTGATTTCAAATATGTATTATGAGACAAATTCACTATTCAAAAAAATTTACCTAAATGGGCAGATAGATACCCTTTGTTCTTCTGTCTTGAACTCTGGTTTTTTTTTTCCCCTTTTTCTGCCCCCGAAACTGCAGAAACTCAAGGAACTGATCAAAACAAAATGTAGGAGAAGAGCTTAGGTTTTCGTCTGAAACACTCGGATGCTTTCAATTGGAGTTCGGGCTACAAAGGGAAAGTGCCCAACTCAACACCGTGTCTTGTGAGTCGTACTTTCCGTTCTCCGACCCATTCGAGACGGTATGAGAGGTCAACATGATGAACGAGTTGCTTTACCCAGTCTGCATTGCTCAAGTTATTACAATTTTCCTATAAAAAAATGCAGAAAAGATTAGATAATAGATATATGGGGAAAATTCTAAGTTTTATGTGATTAAGGAAACGAAAACGAGAGAAATACTTGGGCAACTCGGTCTTGATCCTGTCCGGTGATAGTTGAGATAACACTGGACCTAAAAGTGTTGGATGAGAATCCTTCCCAAGGAGGAACAAAGATCAGTTTTGTGCATTGAACGGGAGTGAGGCTTCTGCTCAGTTTCTCCCACCAAATCGACCCGAGAGACCACCATCTGATCAATAACCCATTTTCCGAAAATGCAACCAGTCCCTGACATTTACAAATATCGATATTATGCCCCGAACAGTACATGACCACGAGTAGTATATGTATATACCTCTCCATCTGGAGAAAAGCTGAGAGCTGATATAGCTGTTGTTACTGCAGATTCTGATGATCCTCCGAGCAGACGTGGAAGCCCTGGAGGTCCACTCGCATCCAACACCTTTATTTTCGTAACACTGCAATGGAGAAAAACACGAAACACCGAGCTCAACCTGTCTCCCATCTTTGTAGTTTAGTTAAAGATAGGACAGAACAAAGCAATAAACCCACATCTATCCTCGAGGAAAAACGATTAAAGTTTACCTTTGCATGTCATGTATCCGAATGCTAGCATTGTTGATCTCCGAGACTGCATCCCCGACAGCTAACCTTGTTGACGAGTCATTCAGGGCCACCATTGGGAACACACGCATGAGTTCTCTTATTGCTGTCATAGAAGTTTGATGGCAAGTCCTACGCATGACAGAGTTGCTCGGGTCCATCGTCTGAAGAACGAAGTTAACTACCTGCAAGCCTGTCCAAATGTTATTCAAGTCTCTCCAGGGAAGTACGAAAAAGAATAGCACAATTATAGTGACATTCAAGCCAATATACGTATACACCAGCTCCAGAGATAGGTGTGATGAACTGACTTTTGCAGTTGGATCATTATTTTGGGCAAAGATATAACGAACCTTGTCAAGATGCAACACCAGATTTCTCGGAGAACCACGAACAATTCTGATCAGAGTACAGAGAGACACTATATGAACAGGCGAATCAGAAGCAGTGGACCATATCTGGCTCTCTATTATGCTCAGAAACCCTAGAACGTCAACCATGGCTAAACTCGGGAGAAGAACTTCAATCAGGGTCTTCTTAATAGATGTCGATGGTACATATTTATGTTCTCCGGATGAACCTGAACCACTGACACATTCTATCTGGAAGTATATATCCGAAACTATACGAGGAATGTCAGGTCCTATCCATTGTTTCCACGTAGTCTCCATGCCCTCTGAGAGAAGCTCTGCGGCCGTGGAGCTGTATTTCTCATTCATGGCCATGACAAGATTTATCAATCTGTGGACAACCAGCATGGGCAGACTAGGTTTCACAAGACTCGGGTACCAAATTGATAAGGCGGCAGCAACAATTATGTGAGATGCCATTGCATCCTGACTTGTCCCACCAACACAAGAAACCCAGTCTTGCATTTCAAAAGATTCAAGCCACGAAAGCAGTTCTGACTCCTCGGCCTGAGAAACCCGATGAGCTTCATGAAACTGCTCAGAGGCCATATTGTTGTCTGTGGGATCTTCTTCTGTGTTCTGAGAATCGCATTCCGGTTCCCTGATTCCAGATAGAGATCTCACCAGTTTCGCGTGTTCACATGCGTGATCACTGCACAATGGAAGAGGTATTGCTAAAGAAGCAGCGTAGTGGAATAAAGACCGAGCGGCCATACGGACTTGCTCGCTTCTATCTTGCCAGAATGTCACCAAAAGCTACAAAAACACCAGGAAAAGAAAACAAAAAATGAGATATCTATCCAGTAGTCACGGATTTAGAAATGCATACAACTTCTTCACAAACCACAAAAATATCAATTTCCGCGAAGAGATTTCTGTACCATCCCAGAAAAGCACTTCTTATGGTAATTAACATAAAGATTAATGCGTCAACTAGTGACTTACTTCGAAAACCATAATTTTAGTTGAGACTATTATCCCTTCAAAAATCCTAAGTGCTTACCTGGAGTAAAGGTGGTTTCAAATCTTGATATTTCTCGAAAAGAATCCGTGTATAGAATGTCGCCAAGGCACTGTAAAGATTTAAGGACACCGAAAATAAGAATACCGATATGTCGAAAGAAAAATATATAACATCGAGAACATTTTGCACTCATGATCATGAAAATCAAAGCATTGAGCATCAAGAAAACTATCCAATTTCTATCGATTTTGTCTTCATATATGGATATGCCAAGATATATAATATAAGAGATTCAAAGAAACAGCTGTTCTACCTACTAGCTGGAGCAGTGGAGTGAGAGAGACTAATCATGCACTGTGCAAGCGACACCATCATCATGGATCGCAGAGCAGAAAACTCAGATGATGATTTCCAGAGCTGAAATGTCATATTAGGATATCAGAAAAAAATTGAAGAAGATGAAACATGTGTGATAGGAAATAAGATGGTGGCTTTGGGAGGAATAGTCCAAAATACCTCAAATATCGCACTCAAACCCGGGAATGTCAATGTCAATGACCCTTTGTCTCCCTGCAAACCGGAGGCTACTATAAAATTCCCTGGTCTTTTTAGTTTCATTTGTGTCATTAGCATTTGATCGAGTTCAGAATCTATACCCCACAAATGCAGAAACGATAAACTAAATCGAATCAGATATTCCTCAATTGCCTTGTCCATGTGAGTGACTTCTGCAGAGTTAGCTGCAATTTGTCGGCCAGGAGACTTGCCATTTGAAGTCTTATGATGTGCAGTTGGAATGCCAGCCCTTTCTTCCACAGTCTCATGCCTAGAGTCGGCATGCACTTGCGAAGAAATTGCCAATGACGAAAGATCAAAAATCAGAGCAGAGATTCCAGGAAAAGGGCAAGTGCATTTGATAGGAGGATATGCTTTGCTTTGAAGAGAAGATGGTTCTACAGGATTCCCTTGCCTAGAATTTGTCTCAGAAGCACTTGACTTAGACATTGATGACAAAGAACCCACTCTCTCATAGTTCTTCAAATAAAATGAACTTTTCTCTTCGTCCACTGGAAAAAGTAAAGATGATACCGAGGTATCTCCATTTAGCACAGCGCCATAACTGGATTTCACACTGATGCCTGTACAGAAATAATCAAACATGGAATGTGCAGCAGTTCCATGGAGAACACGCTCTCGAGCACCTGTCTTTATATCCCAAATGTACAAGGCATCAGTTGGATCTGATGCTCTAGAACGGGATCTACAAAGGCTTGCAACATAGCCTCTTGCACCATCCCAAACTACTTTTGCAGGATAGCCCGGGTGTCCTGGAAACATTCTCTCCACTCGCAAAGTCTCTAGGGAAGAAAGAGCAACACATGAGTCATCCCCGACAGAAAGAAAACAATCACTCCATGGGCGTTCCGTCCGAGCAGGTGCAAGAACAATCTGGCGCACAGGGGCTACATGGTGGTGCATGACCATAATTACATTTCCACTGTCGAGATCCCATAAACGGACCGTACAGTCCATACTTCCAGATATCAAAACATGAGTAAAACTCCATCCGTTTGCTTTGCCTAGCATCCGATGAGCTGCCAAGCATATGACAGCCCCCGTGTGTCCAGAGAATATCTGTTTAGAGACAAGTGAATCGGTCTCCAATCTCGGGCTTGCAGCAGGTGAATCAAGTCCATGAAGCAACTCAAACTTTACGATTTCTATTTCACCACTAGAGTAGCCATAGACAACAGCATACGGAGCATATGTGTTCTCAGAGATAACCATGGAAGAAGACACAGTCCGGCCCTTGTCACAAGCATAAATTTTAAGATTGTAATCGCTAGTGCATTGACTTCCTGGTTGTGAAATACTGGTTTCGCTAGCATTTCCATCCCCAAGATTCAAACAAGAGCTTGAGAACCAATCAGTAAAACAAGGTCCTTCTCCAAGCATTTTGCACGGAATCTGTAATTCTCTTTCGTTTCCATTTCCATGACATAATGACCAGACTGTTATATTGGGCCTCCACTGCAGAGGTTCTTCAATGTCACAACAGCTTGATTCAACACGAAGAAGATGCTGCCTCAACTGTACAAAGCGAAACAGCGATTTGCCATTACACTGATCCGAACCGATAACAACCTCACCAAGAATCTTAAATGTAAATTCTAAGTTTCTATATGATATGTCATACATAACAGCAGAACCGCCATCATTCCACACCACAATTTTTTCAGAATTTATATCATGTTGATCATTTTTGGCAGTAGATGTATTCCAGGAGGAAAGAAACATAGCTCCTTTAACATGTGTGTTAAGAGAATGATCTCCTGCACAGACCAGATTCTCAACAAAAGAGATCTCTCCTATTGCCTTGCCCTGACTCAACAACCAAAACACGCACCGATGCTTTGACAGAAGAGCAACGAGATTTTGATGTGTTGTCACTGATACAACCATCTCTCCCTCATTTAACACATTTCTAAATGTAAAGGAGCCTTTGCCCACTCCTGTTTCGCGCTCACCATCCTTGTGCGGGTCCTCTGACACAGGAACCAATTGCAGCATACCAGATGAATCTGCCATGAGCAAGCATTCATTTTCTTCCAATTGAACCACACCCATGAACTTAAAAGGCTCGATCGATAAATTTCCATGGAAGACTGTCTGAACAATCGTAAGAGTATACGTATCGACAACCACCACTGTGCATTTCGGTGACTTTCTGTTATGAGAATCTGCATCAGCAGAAGCATCAACACCTTCAACTGAATCAAGGGAATGATTATCGAAAAAAGAACATCCAACAAAGACATATCTCGGCTCTGAAGGCAAGGTGCACAAAACTGAAGGACTGCCCACCCAAGGAGGTAGCTTTCTCCTACGCCTACAGTGCCCACTACTTCTGCTCCATACACACAAGACGCCATCAGTACATGCACTAATCAATGCTCGGCTATGATGGATCGAGTTCATTTCATCGTTGTTTGAACAACTCGCTGTATTTCCATTCCCTGAAACTGCAGTAGGATCACATACGGCAAGATCTGCTATAGGTGCAGCATGACCACACAGCATAGCAATTGCCTTAACCTCCTGCCAAATTCAAAAGCCTAATGAGATGAAAACGAAAACTAAAGATTATCCAACTTTCACAAACACAAAACACGTAAATTCTCTTCTCAGTTGGATCAAATTGTCAGCTTGACGCATGAACTGGACAATGATCTCTTCGATTATCTTTGACATGTTTGATTCATGTCTAAGAATGGCATGCTCGGTGAAATCCAAGTAGAGTATCGGACAACCATCATGTCAAGTACGAACATTAACCCAGTGAACTAACAAAAGAACGCGAAGTACAAGGCAAGATGGTTAACGATATACCGGGAAATTTTTTTGCTTACGAGAAACTATCTACGCATCTATATATCAAAATTCAATAAACATCATCATCACTAGAGAAATAACCGCAGGAAAAAAATGAAATGACGAAGAATCTGGATCCAGTATCAGTAAGCCAAATGACAGAGCATGAGAACACGACCAAGAGCATGGACGAGCCGAGTTACCGAGTTGGACTCGGAAGAGGAGATGCTCCACCAGATGATGGACCCATCAGATCCGGCGGTGTAGAGCGTCGCAGGTTGGGTCAGAACAGCGGTGGCAGTAATCCGATGAGACGGAGGCGCGCCAGACCAAAGACACGCGACGGCTCTGCACTTCATCGGACCAGTCGAGGCAGACCGAGTCGAATCGCGCGATTCCTACGCCGGCCGAGCCAACGAACGAGCCAGAGTGATCGAAGAAGAAGAAGAAGACGACGGACAGGTAGAGTCTCACGAGTGACGGAGTTGGTAACGGCGGGGTTGATTAACGGACCGATGAAGCGAATAAACCTTAACGGAAGGATACCGCCCGTTAAGTAAGCGGGCTAAAAATTTCAAGTTTAAGGCCCAATTTTAAAGGCCAAAGTATAAACCTTGTTTAAAAATATTTATGGCCTAACAAAACCCATACCATGCCCAAGGCGAGAAGGGCCACGGAAAGAACACATCATAAAAGATTATTTATTATAAATCATGTGATTATAATATAAAATTTGACAAATGGAAAGCAATAATATAAAATTTATTATATTAAATTATGATAACTTGAATCCACAATTTGCTACTAAAAGATTTAGATATTTATGTAATGATTAACCGGAGTTGAATTTTTCCAATGGACAATGTGCTGTGGTGGTGCGTGTGTGTGTGTGTATATGCAATTACTAGAAATTTTTGTATAATCTAATAGGAAATATTTTTAAAAATATATTTGATGAAAGATTTAGTTTTTTAAATTCATCCAAAAATTATTTAAAAATTTAAAACTTGAAAACGAAAAATACCTCGTAAAATATAAGACGTAATAATGATCATTTTCCCGCAGATTTTTTTTTTAATTTTCTATAAGAAGGAAGGATCTAGGACGCGAGCCTGCGTCGTTTCGATATATACACACGTATATATAACTTGGCCTTTACTTAATTCCTTACGTATCATTTGCGTCTGTCTTCTCTATTCTCTTGGTTCTTCTAAATCCAGATTAAGTCGGCGATGGCGAAAGAGCTGGCGGAGAAAGCTAAAGAAGCTTTCCTAGACGACGACTTCGATGTGGCTGTTGACTTGTACTCGAGAGCCATTGACTTGGATCCCAATTGCGCCGAATTCTTCGCGGATCGTGCTCAGGCCAACATCAAGGTCGGACGCTTTACCGGTAATTCTTCGTTCCCTCGCGTTGTCTGCGGTTATTGGTTCGATTTTCGTCTCTTCGGTTCTTTGTTCCCTTAGCTCATCGTATTTAGTGGAACAGAGTTTTTTTCTCGGTGTTGTTAGTTGTCAATTTAGGGTTCACAAGCCTGTTCATGTGACTTTTTGTGAATTTGAAATCTAGGTTTCCATTCGGTTGATAGAACTGTTCCTTATATTTGTGTTTCTGTTCGGAATATTGGGTTTCGATTTGATGTTGCGGTTTATGTTTGGAATATGTAGAAACAAACATTTTTCATTGTTCTTGAAGAACTGTTCGATGTGGGTTTGATGTGTGTCGATTGTGTTTATCTGTATGTTGTACTGTTCTGTTCTTCCAAGTCGAAAGTTATTGGATTTGTGCTTGGTGGATGCACCTTCGATATACTATGAGAAATAAATAAACTGCGTACTCGTCGTCAGTAGTGTGGCATGTGCAAATTTTGCATCTAAGAAGGACGGTTTCTGCCATAATTCGGGGCTGTTATGCTTGCATTGAGGAATCGTGGTTGGGTTGGGGTGATGAATTCATGATCTACTTTGGGTCTAAATCTGTTTGATTTAGTTGGGATGATCATTTATGTTCTTCGAGCTTTGTTTGATTTAGTTAGGATGGTCATGATCGGCTTCGGGTATAATTCACAGATCCTTTGTTACCTAATGTTTAATCACACCTTGCTTCTGTTAAGCAGATTGTGTACAATCTATTTTGGAGTGTTCCGTATATTATCTTCCATTTTCATGTCTGACATATGATTTCTCATCGTTTCTTCATGAGCAGAAGCTGTTGCAGATGCAAACACAGCAATAGAGCTGGATCCAACACTCACAAAAGCATACCTAAGAAAGGGGTCTGTATTCATAGTCTTTGTGTGCATCTGTTTCATTGCATGTAAAAATTTGGATGATAATGATATTGTGTGGAAGTTACGATTTTCCATTTGATGTCATATTGGATAGATGATATGTGCTTATGTGTGATGGTTACATTCCCACAATCCTAATTGGGTTGCTATTATCTGCAGCACTGCCTGTATGAAGCTTGAAGAATATCGCACCGCTAAAACTGCCCTTGAAAAAGGTGCTTCCATTGCGCCAAATGAGCCAAAATTTAAGAAGCTGATCAAGGAATGCAATCTTCAGATTGAAGGTACTTGCCCCTTCGGGATTTTTTCTTCTTCAAGTTTTGGTTTTAAGACTGTTTGCCCTGCCTTCTAGCCAGGACAACATTCTCAAGTGCTACTGTCTTTTCTATGTATTCCCATGATAGAGTGAGGAAATTTCAATATATTCTGCACCAAGAGTTTAATTTTACAACATTCTTTCAATGTGTTCAGAAGAAGACAAAGATTTGGTTAAGTCAGTGTCACCGACTTTACCTTCTAGTTCAGTGCCAGCACCAGCATCCAGTGTTTCCAAACCGAAATACAGGTGGGGGATCCTGTTGTAGGAATGTTACATTCAGAACATATGTTCTCGTTCGAACTTCTTAGGCGTTCCATCAATATCTCAATCCAAACCCGATGCTTTCAACAGACATGAGTTCTACCAGAAGCCAGAGGAAGTGGTGGTGACGATTTTCGCGAAAGGGGTACCAAAACAAAACGTAAATGTTGAGTTTGGCGAGCAGATTGTGAGTATCATCCTAGCCATTTTTCTCATTGTATTTCACCTAGTATAAGAACCAATCAAGAATATTCATCCGTGGTATATAGTCTGAACAGTTTATCGATATGCGATTTCTGTCTGAGTTTTGCAGCTGAGTGTTGTCATAGATGTTCCTGGGGAGGATGGTTATCATTTCCAACCTAGATTGTTCGGAAAGGTACTTTGCTTGTCAAATGAATTTATCGGCGTTTTCAACACATAGTAGTGCTCTTATCGGGTTCATATTTCTTTGTTTTTCCTTCTTTTCGGGGGAGTGTTCAGATTATACCAGAGAAGTGCAGATACGAAGTATTGTCAACTAAAGTAGAGATCCGTCTCGCGAAAGCCGATGTGATCACCTGGACATCCCTAGAATACAGCAAAGCACCAGCGGTTGCATTGAAACCAAACGTCGCATCAGGTTGTCCTAAAGCTCTGACGTATTTCATAGTCAATGTGATAGTCATCTTATGACGAATGTGTATTCGGGTGCAGCCGCAATTCAGAGACCGGCATACCCGTCTTCTAAGGCGATAAAAGACTGGGACAAGCTGGAAGCCGAAGTTAAGAAAGAGGTTTTTTTTTTTGTCTCATCAATTACCTTATATACAACAACGTTTGTGTGATAAAAAGCTGGTTGCTAGGAACAAATTCTGGTAAAAGGGGTTGTCTTTTTTTGTTAATGGGGTGATTGCAGGAGAAGGAAGAGAAGCTGGACGGGGACGCGGCCCTGAACAAGTTTTTCCGTGAGATCTACCAGGGTGCTGACGAGGACATGAGGCGAGCCATGAGCAAATCCTTTGTAAGCAAATCTTGTATACATAATCAACTACCATACAACTGCAACTGATCAATCACGGCTTATGTATCTATCTGTCGGTGTCGGATGACATACGGGGACAGGTGGAGTCGAACGGCACGGTGCTGTCGACGAACTGGAAAGAGGTGGGAACGAAGAAGGTGGAGAGCACTCCTCCTGACGGCATGGAGCTCCGCAAATGGGAGTATTGATAATCAGCTCATTTCCAACTCTGCTAGTGATTTATCCACTCTTTTCAGTTTCTGTAATGAGTTTGAACTTTGATTTCCAAGTCTGTGAGCGATCTTTTTTGTTGTTGTCCCGAACCATTTTTTTTAAAACCAAATTGACAACCCTTTTGTGTAATGAATGCTGCTTTCATGGCCGTTTGGCCTTTGTGTTTGTTTGGCGGTGCAATGTGGGGTTCGAGCCATTTGTGTAATGAGCCAAGAGATTTCTATATCATCAAAGAAAAGTTTCGGACAAATCCCAAGTGGTTCAGTGATCAGCTACAAAAGGACACGTTCACTTTTAACGGGTGTTTTGCTTTCTTTCTTTACACAATAGCAAGTAGAAGAAGAGACAACAATCACAAGCATAAATAGCATCTCAAATGCAAAACAATAACCTCTTACCTCCTCACAACAAAAACTCGGTTCAGAACCATGGGGTTGGCCCTACATACAAGTGGTCTAGCCGCCTTTTCCGCCCTGCAACTAGGTGAAAAGAGGGAAACAGAACATCAATGCTGTGAGCCTGATCCAGATAGGGAATTTAGACAATGGACCTATACCATAAAAAAAAAAACCATCATTGAATTTGATGTAGAATGTCAAAACTAAACTTGTATCCGTATTTGCTGTTGTATTCCCAACACTGTTTCCTTATGGCCATTCCTGACGAACTATTTGGGAAGGTTTATGTAAGTGAAGAAGGGTAGGTAGATGAGATGGTGTTACCTTATGAGGCGGAGTTCCTGGCCTCGGCACAGTGTTGTTGATTCCAAATTTTCCTTTCTTATCAGATGGCTTGAGGATTTGGAAAGAACATGTCAAGGTATCATCCACACTCATCATTGCACCGGCGTTGTCAAACTCCCCGCAATAATTTGGCGCTGAGAATATAGTCACCAGCTGTCTCTGTGCAAAGAACTCGTACCCATCTTCTACAACCTGCAGAATCATTAATCTCGAATCAGACCTTGCCCCAAATCTAAAGACCCTCCAAATGTTTCGAACATCAATCAGTGTCCAAATGACTAGCAGTTAGAGTTGGTAAGAATCAAATGAAATGAAACCAAATTTGAAATATAGGCAGCAGCCAACTAGATAGAGTATAACCAGTTTATATGTTCACTTCACCTGATGTGCCCGGCAAACGAGATCAAGGTCGTGAATTTGGAGGAACTCAGCAACCTTGTCAGCCCCGAATGTATACGAGACACCTCGGTCATTCTCTCCCCAGCCATCAGCATCTCGGTCAGGATCAGACCACAGTAAGTCACATAGGAGTCCCTGGTCAGGAACATCGATAGGGCGAGGAATCTTCCTGATCTCGTCTAAGTTCTTCAAATCGGGGGATAATCCACCGTGCATGCAGAGGATCTTGTCGTCGATAAGAGCAGAAACCGGCAGACAATTAAAGCAGTCAGTGAAAGTCTTCCACAGACGGACATTAAATCTTCTTTTGCATTCATCATAGAACCCATATATGCGGTTGATTGAAGCACATTCATGGTTGCCTCTAAGGAGAAAGAAATTCTCCTTGTATTTGATCTTGTAGGCAAGAAGAAGGCATATTGTCTCTATACTCTGCTTACCACGATCCACATAATCCCCGAGGAACAAATAATTTGCAGCTGGTGGGTAGCCGCCATACTCGAACAGCCGCAAGAGGTCTGAAAACTGACCATGAACATCACCTGTTCATCATTAAGACACATCAATACTCGATCAATTCACAGCATTTTCAACAAGCGAAACAGAGGAACAAGCAGAATATATATATATATATATAAAAATTAGTAAACGCATGTATCGTGGGTAGGCATTATATACCACAGATTTTGATGGGAGCCTCGAGCTCGAGAAGATTAGGCTGAGTGAGAAAGACCTCCTTCGAGGTCAAGCAAAGCTGCCGTATCTCCGCCTCCGTCAGCTGCACTTGCTTCACCGTCCTCCCATTCTTCGCCTCCACCAACCTCCGTATTATATCATCCAGCAAATTCGCGTCCATCGCTACAAACCCACCAAAACCCTAATCTCTCTCTCTCTCTCTCTCTCTCTCTCTCTACCACGCGAACACGAAAACACTACAACCAAGCCGAAGAATTTCTCCGACAAAAAATCCCGTCTCATGTACACTTATCTCCTACCGAATCCCCAGAGAGATCTAACTCCGGCATCGATTGACCAACTCGAAGCGTTCTATAGATACCGGAGTGAGGTTTCGCGGAGCAAGAGAGAGAGAGAGGATAAGTACGTTTCAGGAAGGAAAACCTAAAAAAATAAATTTTCATGTCGTAACGGCGGTACTTAATCCCGTCCATAATCATTGATCAAGGAACAGAGGGAGCGTGCCCATCTCCAGCACGTGACTCCTCACGTGACTCCATACTTGGAGCCAAGAGGTTTGGTCTCTTGGTCGGGTTGGCCAAATAAACTAGAAAATCGATATCACTCAATTCACGAGTTGGTTATTTAAATTTCAAGTATTCGTCCACCATCAAATCAATATGAGTTCGGTGATGACGAGGATTCAGACCGTGGTCTTGGGACTATGGATTAAGGCTAAGATTAGGGTTTGGATTTTAGTGTGTCAATTAGAATTTGACAAAAAAAAATTAGTTTATTTTTAATTTGATACTTACGAACAAAACTCTATTTGTTTTTTGATATTTGACAAAATTGACATTTTATATAAGAAATTTTTTTCGACTTGGAATTATAGAATTTTTTTTTACAAAATTCCGATCATTTATTTTTTTTTAATTTGACTCTTAGAAAAAAATTTATATTTGCTTTTTGAAATTTGATCAAATTCGATATTTTCAATGAAATTGTTTTCCATTCTAGAAGTACAGCCATACAACAAATTGTTTTTGTGCAACATATTTGATAAAAGAAAATCACGTATCATCACCGAGGAACCTTCTGAACCGGGCCGATTCTGGTTTTGCTTGTTTCTCGAAAACAACAGAACCGGACCGGTCTGAAACATAAACCGGTTGACTCTTCTTCTCCCCCCGCTCTGAGTCTCCATAGTTTACAAACTTACAGTCACCGTCGTTTCTTAGAACCTTCACCTTTTCTCACCATTCACTCACTATCATCTACGACCAAAAGTCATCTCCTCTCCTCTCTTTCTTAGTCAATAGAATAGCCCTATCTCTCCTGCAAACGCGTTTTGGAAAATATGCCTTATATCATCTCTCTCTCTATATATGTATGTATGTATGTATACATATGCAGCAAAAAGCTCAACCATGGCTGATTCCAACAAGGACCAAGCCAAACCACTAGCCCCTCTTTCTCACGCACCTCGTAGTGACCAACCCGAAGAAGATGACTACGGCAACGGTCGGCCAAAACATGTGTCTGGTCGGACGACAAGATGCATCCTTTGTTTTGGTTTTGTCGCCTCCTTTGTTCTGCTTCTCACCGTCACTTTCATCGTCCTCGCCCTCACTCTCTTCCACATCCGAAACCCCAATCTCACCGTCCATTCCGCATCCTTCAGCCACCGGCTCGAGATAGACAACGGAACCATCAGGGCGGACTCGAACTTGACCGTCACAGTGAAAATCTCCGTTCACAACCCCAACGCGGCGTCCTTTAGCGTTACAAACGGCTCTACGATGGTTTGGTTCGTCCATGAAGTCATAGGGGAAGGAGGAGGAGATTTTCCGGTGAAGATTCCGGCAAAAAAGACTGTTCAGATGAATCTGACGGCTGAGATTGTTACGTCGAGGTTAGCATCGGTTCCGGGTTTGAATGGAAGAGGAATGAATGTGAGCAGCGCCATTAGAGTAGATGGTAAGGTGAAGATCATGAAGATTTTCAAGAAATCTTTTCATCTGAGAAGGGACTGTACTATGATGTATAACACCTCCGAGCTTACATTTCATGATGTCAGATGCCAAAAACACGTAGAAATTTAAGGAACTTTGTTATTATTCCTTACCTTAGGTTATATACACATTTGATATAGAGAAAATAACTGTCACTATCTTTTATTAACTACATAACGATTCAACAATAGAAAGGTTCTTTCCATTCTGGGAATTGGATATACCTGAAAATGGCATGCAAGGAGAAAAAAAAGGCCAGAAATTTCTGCCGGAAACTGCCATTTTCCTGCACTTCACCCTCTCCAGCAACACTAAAAACATCCATTCCAATGATCTTGAAACCCTAAAAGTTTCACAATTTTTTCATCAATGTTTCAAGAAACAGCAGTTAATAGCTCGGCAGTTGTTTATTTTGATTTCTTTTGCTGGTCTGACACCCTAGCTCCCGCTATCTTAACAACAGGTTCATCTTTCGGCTTCACAAGCTTTAATGCCGGATGAATCTTGAGGTCTCCCATTACTAGCTTTTGCCCGACATCCAATTCGCTGAGATCTACATCTATATATGGAGGTATGATTTCAGCGGGGCAGAGGAACTTGACCGTTCTTTTGATCGTATTCAGATATGCTCCTGCAGAGAAATTAGGGTAAAAGAATCAAAATGAAAAACCAAACAGAAAGATTCAAGAAACAAGTGCTACGATCCGGAAGCCCGGGTAGAACATAAGCATTGAATGAAACATCACGACCCCCAAAAAGGATCACAATGAGAGTGCAAATAACAATGCCCGAATTAACCAGTACATGCAGAAAACTAAGCTCCATGCTCTCATACTTAACCAAATTCTTGACAGGCTGAGGCTTTACCCATCAAACCTAAGGCTATCTACAGGAACTGATGATTTCTAGCCTGAACCAAGAAATAATTCTCGAAACCTGGGTAGCAGAAATTTGCGACCTTTCTTTGCATATAACCTTACATTTACATGATCACTGGTCTCAGTTTTGTGTTCTTATCATTTCAAGAGAGGCGAATAAGCCCAAATCAATCCAACTCCATTGCATGAACTAACGAACTCAATCAAGAACACAAGTACTTGCTTACTCTTCCATGCATGGATAACTCATTAGGATATAAAACATAAAAACAACAGAACAAAAAGTGTACAGCTTTCTTCACCATTTACCTTTCCTTAATCCAGGAGATACATCTTCTCCTCTGAACACTAGAGGGATGTCAACCTTCAAAAGAGAACCGGGAGGCGCTCTTATGAACGTCACATTCAAAGGAGCATCTGTTTTCGCGTGCAAATGAAGCTGTTACATTATGGAACAGAAAGCTTGTATTAACAAAGGAGGATGCATAACCATTATTAGCCCACGTCAAATACCAGAAATATATCAAGATTCGATTTAAACAGCCGAGTTATGCAGCAATAAACCCTCTAATGATCTGGATCATACTAAACCAAAATCGATACGAAAACACGTTAACACTGAAATACAGAAAATGGAGAAAAGAAACGAGCCAAGGATCCTGCACTTCATCGAGCTCCTGAATTACATATCCTATATATACGATTCATCAATGTCAAGACTAATCTACAAGTATTTCTTAACTGGATCAACGCAATGCATTTCTATAACTGGAAGGGACTGTCCTGAACCAGTTTATAAGCAAATGCGACACAGGGGAAAACATATAGGAGAACCAAAAAAAAAAAAAAAGCTAAGATTTTACCAATCTGGGCAAAGCCCGAACTTTCTCGATGACATCCTCAGAACCGAATTCGGATCGGACCTCGACATCAAAGAGTCTAGACAGGAAGAAGGACCGACCCAGATGAGTAACTAGCTTCCTGATCTGATTGGTCTGAACGGACACAAGCCTCTTGTTGCCGCCATGTTGCCCGTCCTCCTGCTCGAAAATGATGGAAGGGACCCTACCCGCTTTCCGCTCCTTGGCTGCGATGCTCTTTCCGGAGGCAGACCGAGGTACGGCCAAGATCGTCTCCGCGAACTTCGGGTCGGGTCTTGGGAACCCGGGGAGGTAGCTTAATTCCGATACTTCGGCCTGCTCCAGAACCGCCGCGTTCGCAGACGGAGAGTATAACCGGAGGTTACCAAGCGTTTTTGGCAGTGCAGTTGCACGACGGAGCAACATAGCTTCCGGAGAGAAGGGGAGAGACGGAGAAAGGGTTTAGCTGCTGAGATGCAGAGAGAGATGCGGGGTTTTTCTGAACCTGAAGAAACAACGCCGTTTTGAATCTGTGATGGGCCTTGTTGAAACCTTTACAGTTGATATTTGGGTCTTTCAAAGGTCCATTTATAGGCCCATAAATGATTCGGCCCATCGTAATGGTATCCGGTTGTCCACCAGCGCATATTCCTCTGACAATATTCCATTAATCCTATACCAAATGACAAAAGTACCCTCCACAGATACCTCTCACACCACACCGACCGAACCACCGGTTCCCGGTTCAATGTGTTCAGGTTATGGATCCTCTCTTTGATTTAGGGTTATTATGATAATCATACCAACAACTAATCCACTTTCCAACTATCTTGGGATATCATTAAATCCTCAACACGAAAAGTTAAACCTGACCAAACCGGTATAAAAGAATGTGCTATGATAAGGGTAAAAGCGTCCAGACAAAAACTCCACGGTGTATATTACGAGGTTCGTCTTTGCACAAGGCAAAAATCACCTTCGCTTCTCTCCGGACATAAAGAGGTCGCTCTCTTCTTTTTTTTTCCTTCTTAGTTTCATTCTCTTAATGCATTCGTCTTGAATTTCATTATTTACCATCTTTTGAATAAACATGTTCGACATTCTTTATGGTTAAAACATTTGTTATTTATTTGACATTAAAGCGTCATTTAGTTGCATGAAATCATTTTTTATTTGTCTGCGAATATGAATTATCTGATTTTGTTTTTTAATTTTATTTATTTCCTTGGGCCAGAAAGAAAGTTTAATTGGGCTTCATTTTATATATTGCCCATGTTGCTACCAAATGGGCTTCAGATACAAAACCTTTTTACTTGTGTGTATATTTTATGCATATAACTACAACTTTAATGATGATATAATTATTTAGTTCATAATTTCTTGATATGACGACAGCGTGACCCACCTGTACGGAATGACAGCTATTACGTCACGTGTCAATCTATGATTTGTTCAACCGTTCCTGATCGGACCGCGTGACACCTGAAAGTTGCCGTTGCCGAATGAATAAAAATCCTTACGATGCTTTTCCCTTGCCATGTAATGTCCTTGTTGACGGAGCCGTTAATCGTCTTGCCCCCCCGTGAACGACGAAAACGACGGTCGAGGAGCCGTTATTCCTGACGCCGTTAAATCTCGGTTCTGTGAAAAAAGGGTCCGAACAAATTGACGACTAAGATCAAATGCGTCATTTCAACGGCTGAGATCGAGTTTGCAACTAGCCTTCCTATTTTAGGCTTCGAGATCTTTCTGGTAGGGTGAAATCGCTTTGAACACTGTTGCTCGTTGAAATCGGAAGCTTGGATCTGCGCGAACCGATCGGAGACAATGGCGGAAGAGCAAAAGCACGAGGAGACTGCGGCGGCTCCGGAACCGGCGGTGGAAGTCCTGGAGAGGGAATCGTTGTTGGACAAGATATCGGAGAAGATCCACCACGGCGGAGATTCGTCGTCATCGTCGGATGACGAGGACGAGAAGAAGGCTTCGTCTCTATCATCCCTCCAGGCTAAGGTTTACCGCTTGTTCGGGAGGGAGAAGCCCGTTCATAAGGTTCTCGGCGGCGGAAAACGTATGTGTGCTCTAATCCTGTCTCATTTCTCTCATTTTTTTTTGATTTCGTGTGAAGAGAGTGCTTAATCTGCTATCTGTATGTATTTTTGCTTGATTGTTTCAAGTCGTTGATGAAACGATAGTAATCAGTGGTTTTTGGGAGAAGTTTAAGATGATAGTTGGTTTTTTTGGTACTTACCTTGAGCTTCAAATATGAAGTCAGGTTCTGATTTATCGTGTTGTAGTTATCTGTGATCTAGGCAGATCGTCGTTGCTCGGAGCGAATTTGTGTGTTTCTGTTGAGGGACTTTAGAGCTTGAATTATAAGGATAGCGAGCGTTCTACATGACTGTTTTGAATAACCAAGTTGGGTTTTGTGTCATTTTTCTTTCGGGAACTATATTAATGGTCTTCTCATCTATGGCTAGTAATGATGTTAAAATCTTGATTTGTAGTCTCATAAATGCAGGAACCCTGATGTAGTAGTGTGTTTCCTTTTCTATGGGTCAAAGGTCTCGTTTTGTGATTTTGTTTGACTCAATTGCTTGTTATGTCATATTAAGTAAGGGTTGATGTTTGTGTTGCAGCGGCTGATATATTCATGTGGAGGAACAAGAAGATGTCAGGCGGTGTACTCGGCGGTATAACAGCTGTCTGGGTGCTGTTCGAATTGATGCAATATCACCTTCTCACTCTGTTTTGCCACATCTTGATCGTTGTCTTGGCTGTGTTGTTCCTATGGTCTAATGCGAGCATTTTCATTAACAAGTAAGTTAAGACTGATCTCAATCAATATTTGCTTATCAGATTACTTGATCTGTGCCTCGGCTTGATATCATTAGCTCGATGTTTTGACAATTTATTATCCTCCAGGTCCCCTCCAAAGATTCCGGAAGTTCACATCCCCGAAGAACATATTCTCCAGCTTGCTTCTGGCCTCAGAATTGAGATAAACCGTGCATTCACTTGTCTGCGAGACATTGCATCCGGGAGAGATCTGAAGAAATTCCTCTCTGTAAGTCAAAAGCTGTGAGACTGTAAAGGGTTTTGAAACTTGGTGGTTCTTTATGACAATGTTGCCGTTGGATGTGATTAGGCTATTGCCGGCTTGTGGGTACTGTCGGTTATTGGGAGCTGGTGCAATTTCTTGACATTGTCCTATATAGGTAACTTAATCATCTGCCCGGTGTTGCATCATTTGCATCCGTTACACTACTTCATTCATCAACAACAGTGACAAAAAAAAAACTGTATTTTGGGCAATGCAGCAATGGTGATGCTTTTCACAGTACCTGTGATGTACGAGAAGTACGAAGACAAGGTGGATGCATTTGGGGAGAAAGCCATGGTGGAGATCAAGAAGCAGTATGCAGTGTTGGACGAGAAGGTATTCAGCAAGATCCCCAGGGGACCGTTGAAAGACAAGAAGAAGGATTAAGTTGTCTTACTCTCCGGACACACACACACACAGATACTCTGATTTTTTTTTGTTGGGAAAAGTGTTGTTTGTGAAATGGTGGCGCAGTTATATCAGGTAGATGATACATCCCCCCCCCCCCCCCTCTTTT